GTGTATTGAACAACCAAACTAGTTCAGTAGCATGTAATAAACATTTCTTTTTGCTCACGAGTCTGCAGATTAGCTGAGCACTTCTGCTGATCTTGGCAGGCTTGATTGGGTAGTTTTTCAGGCTTTGGCTGGAGTTCACTCATATGTTTACAGGTCTGCTGGCTGGTGGCTGATCTAGAACAGCGTTGGCTAGGGTGGCTCGTCTCTGCTTCACATGGTCTTGGAGCTTTCAGTAGCCTAGCCTGGGCTTCGTGGTAGTGACACAGTTTCAAAAGAGAGCATGGAAGCACAAGAGGCCTCCTGAGGCCTTGGCTGGAACTGGTACATAAAACTTCCACCACATTCTTTAGTTCAGCTCAGGTCACAAACCTAGCACAGCTTCAAGGCTGGGGAAAGTCTCTTGATGAGAGTGGCTGCAAAATCACATTAAAAAGCATGGTTAGAAGTTGGAATAGAGAACTGGGGACACTTTTGCAATCAATCTACCATGTCCCTTTTCTCCTTCTCCACCTGAATTGGCCAGGTTTCTGTTCTTGGGCTGTTTCATAGGCAGTCTAGCAAGAAAGGGATCCTGGGGGCTCAGCACTTACTGCAATGGGCAGTTCAGGAATCTTTCGCACAAAAATGCCTCTCCAGGAGGGAGACGTCCTTTGGGTATTTCTGCCTATGGTTGGTCATCTAACTTTATCTTCTTTGTTAACAAGATGAAAAAGAAAATCACGTCAGAAAATTTGTTTTTACCTGATGAGAGAAACAAATCAATTACAGCTAAGTAAAATTTTAAGTGTTTAACAGGGAAAAATTGAATATTGCCATTTAATTTTCTGTAGATCTTGATTAGCCGCAGATATTTGAACTAAATACAATGCATTGTTATGTTTTCAACCCTATTTGTAAAAATATGAGATGTAAGAGTGGACAAAAAAAGTAGAGTTAGAGCTTTAGAGCATCAAAATACCTTGATTGACCAGTTTTCCCTGTGCTTCTCCTCTCCTCCCCACTGATGAACTCACTGCTTTGGTAAAATGTCCACCCAGGAAGGGATGATGATGATTCACATGAACATATCTACTGATCTCAGAACAAATCATTTCTCATGGTTATATGTGGAATAGCTTGGTATTCGTAACATTTAGCATAGTGCCTTACATGGGCTAGATATCCAAGAAGGTATTTATTGCATTTTAAGTATGAGAATGCTGATTCCCCCTCCCGCTTCTGTTTTTCTGTTTCAGAATTAGCAAATCGATTTTTTGGTAGCAGCACCCAGGACAGCAAGGATAGACAGGACTATTTGGGACTGATAGACGTCCCAGATTCCTATTGTGGTCCTCGGCTGCAGTTTCCTCTCACTTTTACTGATATTGATGTACTTATTGAGGCCTTCAAGCAACAACAGGCAAGTGGAAGCAGATACTGTTCTGATTGTTGTATGTAACATGTCCTCACTGAATGACTGTTGAATGAATGGATGAAAACTCTATAACAGAAATGCATTCCCTTGGGGAAAAGCTTCACATTAAGCGAGAACTACCCTCTGCTTTGCTTAACCCTTTAAATAGAACTCTCCTCAGGTGCACAGAAACTGCCTCTCTATTTATAGGCTCACAGTATTTTTGTTTTTCTAAGATATAATTTCTGAGATCTTTTTCTGAAATATAATTCACATGCCATAAAATTCACCATTTTTAAATGGTGTATTATTTAGTGGATTTTAGTATAGTCACAAGATTGTGCAACCATCACCAATATCTACCTCCGGAACATTTTCTTCACCTCAGAAAGAAGTGCTGTACCCATCCCCATTCCCTCCTCCCCAACTCCTGGCAACTACTGTTCTGCTTTCTGTCTCTATGGACTTGTCTATTCTGGATATTTCATACAAATGGAGTTATATAATATATGGCCTTTTTTGTCTGGCTTCTTAACCTTACCATAATTAAAAAAAAAGAAATTTTTGGAGGAGGTAATTAGTTTTATTTAGTTTTAACTGAGGGACTGGGAATTGAACCCAAGACCTCATGCATGCTAAGCCTGCACTCTACCACTGACCTGTACCTTCCCCACTACCATAATGTTTTTAAGGTTCATTCATGTCATAGCATGGTTCGTTAATCCTTTATTTTTATGGCTAATATTCTTTTATACGAATATACCACATTTTGTTTGTCCATTCATCAGTGGACAAACACTTGGATTTTTTCTACCTTTTGACTATTATAAACAATGTTACCAAGAACATTCATGTACAAGTTTTTATATGAACATGTATTTTCAATTCTCTTGAGTATATACCTAGGAGTGGAATTGCTGGGTCATACAATAACTCAATGTTTAACTTTCTGAGGAACTGCCAAGCTGTTTTCCATAGTGGCTGCACCATTTTACATTCCCACCAATAATGCATGAGGGTTCCAATTTCTCCACATTTTTTGCCAACACTTGTTATTTTCTGTTTTTTTTTTTTAATTTTATTTTATCTTTATTATAGTCATCCTAGTTGTTACGTGAAGTAGTATCTAATTGTGGTTTTAATTTGCATTTCCCTGAGGGATAAAATGTTGAGCATCTTTTCATGTTTACTGGCCATTTGGACACATTCTTTGGAGAAATGTCTATTCAGATACTTTACTCATTTTAAAATCAAGTTATTTGTCTTTTTACTGTTAAGTTATAAAGGTTCTTTCTGTATTCTGGATACAAGTCCCTTATCAGATACATGATTTGTAAATATTTTCTCCCATTCTGTAGGTTATCTTTTCACTTTCTTGATAGTGTCCTTTGAGTCACAAAAGTTTTTAATTTTATTGAAGTCTAATTTATATCCTTTTCTCTTTGGTTGCTTGTATTTTGGCATCGTATCTAAGAATCCATTGTCAAATTCAAGGTCATGAAGTTTTCTTTTAAGAATTTTATAGTTTTAGCTCTTACATTTAGCTCTACCTAAGCCATTTTCAGTAAATTTCTGTATATGGTATGAGGTAGGGGCCCAGCTTCATTCTTTGCATGTGAATATGCAGTTGTCCTCATACCTTTTGTTGAAGAGTCCATTCTTTTCCCATTGAATGGTTTTGGTGCCTTTGTCAAAAATTAATAGGTTTATTAATAAATTAATAGATTTATTTCTGGACTCCCAATTCTATTCCGTTGGTGTATGTGTCTATCTTTATGCCACTACCACATTGTCTTGCTTAATGTAGCTTCATAGTACGTTTTGAAATCAGGAAGTGTGAATCTTTTGACTTTGTTCCTCTTTTTCAGTATTGTTTTGACATTTAGGGTCCCTTGCAATGAATTTGAGGACTGACTCTCCCATTCCTGCAAAAAAGCTCTTTGAGATTTTGGTAGGGGTTGCATTGAATCTATAGATTGATTTGGGTAGTATTGCCATCTTGGCAACATTAAGTCTTATAATCCATGAACATGGAATGTTTTTCCATTTATTTAGGTCTTTTTAAATTTCTTTCAGCTCTTTTATAGTCTTATGGTTTCCAATGTACAAGCCTTTCATTACCTTAAGTTTATTCCTAGGTGTTTTATTCTTTTGGTTGCTATTGTGAAATGAATTGCTTTCCTAATCCCCTTTTTAATTGTTCTTTGCTCGTGTATAGAAACACAACTGATTTTTGTGGATTGACCTTTTATTCTGCAACATTGCTGAATTCATTTATTAGCTCTTACGTGTGTGTGTGTGTGTGTGTGTGTGTGTATGCATTCTTTGGGATATTCTATGTACAGGATCACATCATCTGTAAATAGAGAGAGTTTTACTTTTTCCTTTCTGATTCAGATGCCTTTTATTTCTTTTTCTTGCCTAATTGCTCTGGCTAAGATTTCCTTTACAGTATTGAATAGCAGTGGTGAGAGCATGCATGCTTTTCTTGTTCCTGATCTTAGGGGGAGAGCTTTCAGTCTTTTCACCATTGACTGTGATGTTAGTTGCAGGTTTTTAATAAATACCCTTTATCATGTTGAGGAAGTTTCCTTCTGTTCCTAATTTTCTGAGTGGCTTTATCATGAAAGGGTATTGGATTTTGTCAAATACTTTTTCTACATCAATTAAGATGATTGTATGTTTTTTCTACAGTCTATTAATTTTGTGTATTACATTGATTAATTCTCTTATGTTGAATCACCCTTATATTTGTGGAATAAATCTTACTTGGTCATGGTATATAATTCTTTAAAAATTCTGTTGGAATTTGTTTGCCGATATTTTGTTGAGAATTTTTGCGTTTAATTCATAGGGGATATTGATCGGTATTTTCTTTTCCTGTGGTGTCTTTGTCTGGCTTTGGTATCAGGGTAATACCAGCTTTACAGAATGAGTTAGGAACGGTTTCCTTCTCTTCTATTTTTTGGAAGAATTTGAGAAGGATTGGTGTTTCTTTAAACATTTCCTAGAGTTCACCAATGAAGCTGTCTGGTCTTGTGCTTTTCTTTGTTAGGGGGTTTATGATTATTGATTCAATCTCTACTTGTTCTAGATGTGTTCAAATTTTCTATTTCTTTTTGAGTAAGTTTTGGTAATTTGTGTGTTTCCAGAAATTTTCCAGTTTCATCTTAGTTATCTAATTTGTTGATATACATATGTTCATAGTATTCTCTTATAATTCATTTTATTTCTTTAAGGTCAGTGGTAATGTTCCCACTTTTGTTTCTGATTATTGTTATTTGCTTTCTCTCTCTTTTTTTTTTTTCTTGGTCTGTGTAGCTAAAGGTTTGTCAGTTTTGTTGCTCTTTTCCAAGAACCAATGTTTGGTTTTGTTGATTATTGTTTTTCTGTTCTTTGTTTCATTTATCTGCACTCTAATCCTCATTTTCTTCCTTCTGCTGGCTTTCAGTTTAATTTGTTCTTTTTCTAGCTCCCTAAGCACTCAGTTAGGCTTTTCATTTGAGTTCATTCTTAATTTAGGCATTTACAGCCAGTGCTCTCTGAGCATTGCTTTAACTATATCCCATAACTTTTGGTATGTTATATTTTCATTTTTGTTCATCTCAAAGTATCTTCTAACTTCCCTTGTGATTCTTCTTTGACCCATTGATTGTTCAAGAATATGTTGTTTAATTTCCACGTATTTGTGAATTTTCCAGTTTTCCTTCTGTTATTGATTTCTAGTTTCATTCCATTGTGGTCAGGGAAGATACTTTGTATGATTTCAGTCTTTTAAAATGTATTGAGCCTTGTTTTGTGGCCTAACATCTGGTCTGTCTTGGAGAATGTTCCATGTGCACTTGTAAAAAAAAGTGTGCTGTTGTTGGGTGGAGTATTCTAAAGGTCTAATTGTGTATGAGGTCTCTGAAGTCTCTGTTCTTTTAGCCTGTGTTCAGTTAGTGTTTTGATAGAGATTCCTTGAACACCAAGAGCTAGAAAGAAAAAAGAAGAAAGAAAGAGTGGGAAGGAGGAGGTAGGGAGGAAGGAAGGAAGGGGAAGGGAAGGGAAGGGAGAAGGGGAAGGGGAAGGAAAAGGAAGGGAAGGAAAGGGGAGGGAAGAAAGGAAAATTGGCTCTGTATTGGTACACTTCACTGCTTAGCCAGGCTGTTTACAAATCTGTGTTAACCTTTACTTTCTGCTTGCACTGAGTCATTTTTAAGTTGCCTTTTTCTTGATTCAGCGTTTGCTTGGTTGCTATAAACTTTGGCTATTTTCCAGAATTCTAACTGGTTTTTTTTCTTGTTTGTTTGTTTTTTTTTGGCTTGATTTTTCAATGTTTCTGTGGAGAGATGGGATCTTGGAGCTATCTACTCCATCATTTTCTGACATCACCCCAAAACTCTCATTCTCAGGTTAGGACCTAAGGGCATATCCTGGGAGTAAGAGTGAATGAGAAGTACTGGCTCTGTAGGGACTGAAACAAAATTTTGAATCATCTAATTGCTGAAATTGAACAGAGATCGTCCTAGACAGCTAGTGCTCCTAGCCACCTGCCAAAAGAAAACTTAAATCCTCTCTAGAAGAAAATGAGTCCTAAAGTTATTTCTTCAAGTTTTCATATACAATATCCAGAACTTAATACAAATGTTAGGCACAGGAGGATACAAGATTCACAAAAGAAAACTGAGGTAAACAACAGGCAATGGAAACAAACCTATAGAGTATTTAGATAATGGCATTATCAAACTCAGAGTTTAAAATAAATATGTTTACTATGCCCAAGGAGACAAAAGATATGGCAAAAATCCAAGGAGCTATAATAGAAAAGGTAGACAATTTTGATTTTATAAAAATGAAAAAATTATTTTGTTAGGAGAAGAATAAAAGATTCAACGTAGTGTACAGTATGCTTCCATTTGTTAAAAAAATTAATAAGCATTACATATTTTGATTTTTTAAAAGTTGAGGTATAATTCACATAACATAAAATAGATTATCTCAACCATTTTAAGTAAAGTGTATTATTCACTGGTTTTTAGTATATTCAAAATGTTGTGCAATCATCACCACTGTCTAATTCCAGAACATTTTTATCATCCTCAAAACAAAACCATATACCCATTATGCAGTCACTCCCCATTCCTCCTTTTCCCTAGCCCCTGGCAACCACTAGTTTACTTTTTGTCTCTACAGATTTGCCTAATCTGGACATTTGATATAAATGGAATCATACAATATGTGGCCTTTTGTGTCTGGCTTCTTCTGATTGGCATAATGTTTTCAAGGTTCATTCATGCTGTAGCATGTATCTGTACCTCATTCCTATTTTTGGTTGAATAATATTCCTTTGTGTGAATAGACCACATTTTATTTAAGGGATTATATATTTATATATGAGTTTGTATATTCATATGTGGTTATATTGATTTTTATATGCACAAATGCATAGAATACTGTTTGGAAAGATACTCTTAACAGTGGCTGTTTCTGGGGATAGGGAAACGGGACTGAGATCTGGGGAAGAAGGAAAATTGCTTTTCATTGTTATACTCCTTTTTGCTCTTTAAATTTTTATTTCAACTAAAAAAGTGAGAGTTTTTTCCACTTAAAAACTACTTTTTTAAAAGAAGAATTATCCTTTAAAAGTAGTATTTTCCTCCCTCTGTGCCTTTTAAAGAAATGTGAATATTTTATTTCAGTTGCTATTTAATCTGAATGTATTTGTAAACATAGAAATCAACATCTGAGTTAACTCTTTTGAGTGTTTAATATTGCAGTTGTAAACACAATTATAATGCTATTGAATGAGAAGTGGACTGACTCTGAGGAACTAATATTACCAAAGTGATTTTAGCCAATCAAAAAAGGACCCGGCAAAACTATTTTCATAATAGGAATTTTCTGTTCTTGAAATATATCCTCAGTGAATATTTGTTAATTTAACTTAAAAAAAAACAACTGCCTTTTCAGACAGCAATTACTCTGACTAGCACTACAAATGGACCAGAAAGTCTGCAATGGCAAGTTAACACTGAAGCCAGTGTTGGGAATCAATAAATTAAATATGCAAATTGAAATAAGTCATTTTGTGAAAGTATTTTGCCTATTCCTTTAAAATGTGGTTAAAGGAAAGTTCTCATTCAAGATTTGACTCAAGTTGTGAGTTGAATGGATTTGGAATGCTTTTGTGGGGAAAATCCTTAGCAATCCATTAGGTTTGGATAGACAGGAAATATGAATCTCTCCCCACTAATCAATATACAGGGGCCCTTATCCTTCCCCCTAATTCTCACATTACTTCAAATCCTGTTTCTTGGTGTTTTTTTTTTTAATTATTTAATCATGAAAACTCTCGTTTTGGAGTCTGGGATAGAAAATAATTTCATTTTTAAATAGCTATGAAAATGGAAATTTCAGGACACCAAGAGATATGATCATTCCAACGAGTTCCATCTGTCCTGAATCCCATACCCGAAGCATTATCTGAACAATATGTAGATATGACACCTCTCTCAGTCTGCAATAATGTAAACCAGCATTCTCCAATAGACATATACCTGAGCCACATACATAATTTAAAATCTTCTAGTAGTTAACATTATAAAAGCAAAAAGAAACAGGTGAAATTAATTTTAATAAGGTGTTTTATTTCATTGAACATGTAAATTTATCACTTTAATAGGTACTCATAGTAAAAGTTTTTAATGAGATATTTTACTTTTTTTTCATACTAAGTCTTTGAAATCCAGTGTGTATTTTGTGCTTGCATCTCTATTTCGACTAGCACCATTTCAGGTGGTAAGTAGCCCCATATGGCCAGCGGCTACTGCATTGGACAGTACAGGTACAGACAGTCCTGACCATAAAGTGGTGTTAGCATCTGTTGTATTTGTATCAGCTATACCGCTTTTTGGATTATGTATTTGGAATAGTTTATAATTTAAAAAAAAGAGAGAAAGACACACTGGAATTTAAAAAAACAAACAAATAAAAGCCTGAGGGAGAAAACCCAGTAAATCTGTCCAAAACAATGCTGTCATCAACACTGTAACTGGAGGGGAGCAATGGGATGAAGAATCGTAACAGGAGATAATCCGAATGGTTTATTTGGGTTTGCAGTGTGTTTTGTACTTAGACTTGTATTTAAGTGTGCTTGCTGTCCTGTATATTCATGTCTGTGGCACCAAATACTGAGCCATACCTGGGACGCCGGGCTCAGGAGTTCCTTGGGGCCTTTCTGGCTGCCTTGTGAGATCTTCTAACCCAGCACTCCCACCTAATTCTCAGCCCAGGTGACAGGAGGTGGCAAACAAATGCGAAGCAACCCCTATTGAACAACCTCCCTCTACTTCTCTTTTTCTTTCTCTTTCTCTCTCCTTTCCCTCCTTCTGTTTTATTTATTTATTTAGCCTGCACATTTCCTCTGGGCATGGGAGTCTCCTTTTTTTCCTGTCACTTCTCTTAGGCTCTAAAGACCAAGAACAATGAGAAGTGTTCTGTGAGTAGGTGATGTCCGTTAAGAACATGAGAGTATAAACTTCCTAGGAACCATTCATACATTCAAATTTACAAATCTCTAGGGAGGGCTTTTTATGTGCCAGATACTGTACTAGGATAATCTATTTAAGAATAATTTAGAGATTATCCTGAAATACAGCTACCTGAAATGTGCTCATATGTTCCACCTTTATTGCCTTCTGTGCACTCATGCCTTTTTCCCTAGTTCATTATGTCTGTTTCCTCTGCTTTGCCCTCACAGATACTTCATGCTTATTATGTCTTAGAGGTGCTATTTGAAACCAGGAAGGTCCTGAAGAAAATGCCAAATTTTACTCACACAAAAACTTCTCCCTCCAAAGAGATAACAATCTGTGGTAAGTTTCAGAGCACAGTTGCCAAATTAATATTTAGGAGCCTCTTGGTTCTCCACCATTGGCCTAACTTGAAAACTGTGTAAATTGGGCTGTATTAAGGGAAAAGTATGAATATAGAGTTATCCATCATGATAATACTGTTTCCCATCTTTGTTTTGCATACCAGCTGGCAGGAATTAATTATGTGAGAAATGAAAGAACTCATAGCTTTTTATAAAGGCAGACAGCATTTTAATACAGAAAGCCACCCATGGGTGGAATAAGCGTTCTGTGCCCTCTGCTTGGCTCTCATTATCTTTGTTCCATGTGGCTTTTTCTAGGTGGGCCTCTGCGTGCCACTTGTGCTGGGAAGAGAAAAGCCCTTGGCGGGGTGGAGATTGAACTCTTCTCAGCCCTCGGCAGCTGTTTTAGATTTTTCCAACTGGTCTCTGCAGCTTTTAGAAGAGTGGGAATGTCCCAGAAATCTGTTCCCTGTTCTTCTAAATAACAAGATCTGAGATTTTGTTGTCATATAGGCCAGCCTGGCAGGATATTGCTTCAAGAAGCAGTACACATTGAAATTCAACACAGTTGGTGCTCAGCATGCTTGCAACTGTCTGAGAATGGAGTGCGTGGAAGGAACAGCAATTCCCTTAACTTCTAATTAAGGCTTTAGGTTACAAAATAGTGATTGTTATTTTCCAAATCAATTTTTAGCCCATGTTTCTTTTACTCTGGCAGGTAGAAGTGGATTTGACAATCTAATTAAACCATTTCCATTTCTAGCATCTGATAGTGGTGACAGGGACTTGATGTAGCAGTACATGCTCCATGACATGCCCTGACTCAGGCTTTTGAAGAATCTTTAATGGTTAAGTTCCAACCTAATCATGCCACCACATCTCTGCGTTCCAAATGATGCATCTCAGCAGTGGGGACCTTTTATTCAAGGCCTCATCAGCTCTTACTTTTCATGGAGGTGAAGAATTTTGGGTCATGAGGCTCAGGAAGCCATGCCAACCCAAGAAGCCTGTGGAGTCAGGGCTAGGCTTGCTCTCAGAGTGTATATACTAGGCCAAACACAGAGTGGGATCTGCTCCCATATATTTCTAGTATACCTCCAGTTGCCATTGGAGACTTATCTGTGCATAAAAGGATCTGGAAGAAGACATGAATTAGAGGGTGTGTAAGTCCTGGAACTGAATGGTTCTTACAGAGACCATCTAGTCTATCCCATGTTCTTGTGGATGAAGTTGAGGCCCAGAGAGAAAAGTGTACTGCCTTCCATGCATTTTTTTTTTTGTAGTAACTTGCCCCTCTCCCCCACTTCCCCCTACAGCTCACTCAACTAGTTAATGGCAGAGGCAGAATTAAAAATCAGATCCTCTGCATCCCAGGTTAGAGCCAGCTCCGTATCTGCTGTCCCAACTCCCATCATGCACCGCTCTGACTGATACTTCATTTTCCGTCATGAGAAAGACTAAAGAATGGTTGATCAAACAGTTCCATTTATTTAACGATCCCCACATCTTGGGCATTTATTTCCAAACTTTTTCCACATAGCACCATTGGTAGAGGGAAAAACTAAAGCCAGTAGGTTTCTTTCGCATAGGAATTATTTTCTGTCTTTAATAGCCCCATTGAACTTAGGAAAATTTAGTCATCATTTAAAATAAAATTTAAAATTGGGACCATATTTTCAAAATCATCCTCTGTTTCAGACAGTATTAGGAAAGGGAGAGAAATTATGATGAACCTTTACCATTATTTTAATCTCCAGATGCACTTTTTACATGCACATCTAAACATGCTACATAGTTCTTAATGTGCATGAAATATAGGAGATATTTTAGTCTATAGTTATGTTATAAATGATAACTAGTTCTGCACTTACGTTTTTGTATGCAGTGGAAATATCTTTCTCTGGCTGTCTTTCCAAGATACACCAAGTTTTATCTTTTGCTGTCCAACTAGAAGTTAAAAGTATTTTTATATCCTCAACTTTTATATGATGAAACCAATTCACTTACTAGCATTCCAGTTGCAACAGTTCTATCTACCCAAATCTTTGAAAGACAAGTCACCCTAAAGAAAATTAGGAAAATAAAATTATTTTAAAAATCTGTTTAACTGATAAGTTAAAGTCATTTCATTTTAATTTCCTTAGATTTGGAGTGAGAACATACGAAGCAATGAGATTTAATTACACAATAGTATTAATATGCTATTAATATTAATATGGTAGTCATTTTATAAATAAGTGCTGGTGATATAGGATTTTAATTTTATTATTCCCATTATAATTGGAGTCATCTTTTGTATGTGTTTGGTTAATTTTGGTTGGAGCATTTTACACAAACTGAAGAAAAGCTTTCCTAAATTAAATTATATTTGGTAATTAAATTGGATACAAAGAATAAGAATTTATGATCCAAGCTTATGAAAGACAAATATTTACCTAGAAATAGTTATCCAAATAGGGCTTTTGAATATTCATGTATTTACTCTTTTTTAAATTAATGGCTTCATATATTTATATGGTTTCCATTAGTTGGCCGAGTTTTATAAAGCCATGCTTTCATTTTTATTTTCTATAATGATCTCATCAAAAGAGTGTCAACTATCTACTCATAATTTTTAAGTTTCAGATGCTACTGCTGGAGCATATTTTTGAAAACATGGCTTTAAAAAGCTATGCATTTAGCAATTAAACTTAATTTTTGAATGCCTACTTTGCAGCAGGTACTATAGGAGGCCTTTGGGGGTTTAATGCTAAGATAGGTAATATTGCTGCTCTCCTAGAGATCACAGTGTGGGCAGTACAGAATAATCACTAAGAGCTTCAGTTCTGAAGTGAGATAAAATTGAGTTTGAATTCCAGCTCTAATACTTGGTAGCTGGGCAACTTTGCGTAAGTTACTTACTACCCTGAGCCACATTCATAAAAGGAGAATAATGAAAATAATACCCATCTCATAGAGTGGTTGTAAGGATTGAACAAGATAATTCATGTAAACCCTTAGTCTAGCACTTAGCACAGAGTAAGCTTAAGCACAGTAAGTAAGTAAGCTAAACTGCAAGAGTGAATAGGTAATTGCAACATTGGATGCTGTCCCCTATAGGAAAAGGGACAAAATTTCCATAGAATGCTATGGAAACAAATTGTCTGTTGAGTCAATATCATCATAGGGTAAAAACCCAATGCCCTGAGAACACTTAGAGTGTATCAGCATTATTTCAGTTTTAAAATCCTATAACAAAAAGGGTACTTTCTTGTTTCCTACTAAATAGTGATTTTTCATTTCATTTCCAGGTGATTTGCATGGGAAACTGGATGATCTGTTTTTAATCTTCTATAAGGTAAATGATTATTTTGCTAAATATTTGCATTTTTGTTAGGGGAAGGCAGTCCTAGGGCAGATAACAATATTAGTTTTATTAGGGATTTGTACAAATACAGATGTAATAGACCAGTTTTTATCCCAGAAGTTGAAAGATTTGTTTTGTTTCACAAAAAATTTTTAAAAATTTAATTTGGGTCTTTGTTCAATATTATTGTTATCTGTATATCCATTAAGATTTGTACCTGATTGTATTTATGTTTTGTATTACATCATAAATGTCTAGATGGCACAAGATAGGGAGGGGGAGCTGTCTGTTTTATTATTCTTTTGTTCAGAAGTAAGCATGCCACAGCAATCTTCTCCAATGCACACTAATTAGGCATGAAAGGAGTCCCCCATAGTAAGTGCTCAACTGCTCTCTTCTCCACTCTGACTCTCTATTACCAAGCTAGTTGCTGTTCCAGTGCTGTGACTCCTCTTCGCCTGTTGGCTTTCTTTTGTGGGAGCCCGCACAGAGGGCACAAAGCAGCTTGGCCAACATGGAGTTTCTCTGCATCTCTTTGATTGGATTCATTTCTCTCTCTCAATAAGCAGTTGCAACCTGAATATCTGTTTCTGGGACTATTTCATGTAGAAAATTGATCCTGAGGTGATTCCTGCCTTCATAGTGGTACCCCTTTATATCACTTTGATACGTCATCCCCATAACCAGCATGTTGAATAATTGGGCACAGCTTAATCGTCTCAGATGGCCTGAAAGAAAACATATTCTGATTATTATGATGGGCAATCAACTCTACTCTTTGGGGACTGTGAGAGCTTGAGTAAGCCACATAACCTCCATGACCCATGATTTTTTTTTTGGCTGCAGTATTCTTTTTTAAAAAAATTTTTATTGAAGTGTGGCTGATTTACAATATTGTGTTAGTTTCAGGTACACATCAAAGCAATTTGGATATATTATAGGTTATTACAAGATATTGAATATAGTTCCCTGTGCTATACAGTAAATCCTTTTTGTTTTTCTGTTTTATATGTAGTAGTGTGTACCTGTTAATCCTATACTCCTAATTTATCCTTCCCCCTCACCCCCTTTCCCCTTTGGTAACCATAATTTTGTTTTCTATGTCTATGAGTCTGTTTCTGTTTTGTAAATAAGTTCATTTGTATCATTTTTTAGATTCTACATATAAGTGATATCATATAGTATTTGTCTTTCTCTGACTTACTTCATTCACTTAGTATGATAATCTGTAGTTCCATCCATGTTGCTGCAAATGGCACTATTTCATTCTTTTTTATGGCTGAGTAATATTACTGTGTGTGTGTGTGTGTGTGTGTTTGTGTGCGTGTGTGTGTGTAAAACACACCTTCTTATCCATTCATCTGTTGATGGACATTTAAGTTGCTTCCATGTCTTGCCTATTGTAAATAGTTATGCTATAAACATTGGGGTACATGTATCTTTTCAAATTAGAGTTTTCATCTTTTCCGGATATATGCCCAGGAGTGGGATTGCTGAATCATATGATAAGTCTATTTAATTTTTTAAGGAACCTCCATACTGTTTTCCATAGTAGCTGCACTAGTTTACTTTCCCACCAACAGTGTAGGAGGGTTCCCTTTTCTTCACACCTTCTCCAGCATTTATTATTTGTAGGCTTTTTGATGAAGGCCATTGTGACTGGCATGTGGTGACACCTCATTGTAGTTTTGATTTGCATTTTTCTAATAATTAACAATGTTGAGCATCTTTTCGTGTGCCTATTGGCCATCTGTATGTCTTCTTTGGAGAAATACCTATTTAGGTCTTCTTTAGCTGTAATATTCTTGAGCTTCTACTTCATAAGAGGTTGCCTTGTGAATTAAATAATATAAATATCCAAAAGCATTTTTAAAGTACTAAATTATAGTAGACATGCAAGGTTTTCATTTTATTCATTGAGAATGGAAGCTTGGAAGGGAATGGAGCAGGCCAAACCAGGAGTCAGTGAATGGAGCTGGCTCTTAGGAGGAGATTCAGTTGACTGCAGGAGGCCTAAGCAAGGATCTAGAGCCTGATAGCCAGAGAGTGGGGTCAGAGGAAATAGGAGGCCATCTAGGTAGTGGGTTGATATCAGGAAGTCCAGCCAAAGGTTTCCTGGCAGGGAACTAAGGGTGCTGTTAAATGAGCAATTCTGGAGATCAGTCACAGAATCCAGTCTGAGCAGGGAAGGAAGAGAGGCCAGGATGGCCAACCAACTGGGAGAACTGGGAGGAATGAAGGATTGGCATGCTTTCTAAGGTCAGGGAGCAGGCTGACTGGGATAAAGACCCAGGAAGCAGATGGGTGGGAAGTTGCAAGGGGAGTACTCCTAAGGGATGGTAGGTCTAATGTGGAAACCAAAATGTGGGTGCTCAAGTGAGTGAAAGAGTATTGGAGATGAAGAGGTCAAGCGTGGGGAAAGCAGCTGTGTTAAGTGAGTTGGCCACAGCAGTGAGAGATGAGGAGCAGGGTAAGGAAGTTTAGGCAAAACTCATAGGCCTGGAATGAGGAGAGGCTTTTACCTGAGGCTGGCAAAGCATTGGCCTGTTAGTGGCTCTGAGGAGCCAGTGGCCCCTCCCCAACTCCTCACCTGGAGGTCTCCATGCTATGGAAGAATGGGTCCTTTCCTTCCAGAGGGCTTTGGGAGTCAGAAGTCCAGCACTGTCCCTAAGGGAGGCCCAGATTTCCAGAGGAAAGTCTTTCTGAATGAGTTGAAGGCAGAAGAGAGTTTGTTTACGCAGTTTGAGGAATGGGATTTGTTTTACTCTACTTAGTACCATATAAATGTACAGAAGTTCAGTCCTGCTGTTCTTGGCAATTATAATCTGAAGAAGGTGGAAGAGGCAGACGTATGTGGGAAATAACCACGACAGAAAATCTGGTAGTTATTTCTCTGGAGGTTTTGGGAAATATATAAAAGGGAAAATAGTTGAGTAAATTAAATGGGAAAAGTGACTTCCTAGGCAATTAGAAAAGAAAATTTCTCAAGAGGTGGTTGAAGATATTAAGGTATGATTAGGCAAAGGACTCTGGAGTAGACAGATGCGAAGAGAATGTTTCTTTAATTCCATTGGCAAAACTGTATGGAATATATAAAACCGGAAGGTGCTAATGTAAAGATTGAACAGGAGGAGGTGGGTGGTAAGAAGTACTATAAAAAGGACTAAAGGTGAAAATATAGCATTCACATGAAAGCAAGAAATATTCTGAGAGTTAACCAAGGATGGTGTTCAGGAAGTGGAGAGTGAGAGCCCAGCGATGGAGGAGTAAGGCGTTGCTATTTGGGGTGAATTTGGGTAGAGGGAGGTGAGAGGGATGATCGGAAAGGAGAAATCTGCAAGAGTCATGAACTCGAATTTTAACAGGCTTGAATGAGAAGCAGGTAAAATGCACCTTGGATGTGGAATAAACCACATGCACCAGAATCCTGAAATTGCCTGGTTTAAAAGAGGAAACTGAGGGAAGAGCCACTGATGATAGCAAGCTTTCACTTGAAGAAACTGAAAAGATGGTGTAACTCCTGGTATCTGAGAAGGGAGAGTGACCGAGTGCGCTTGCGCTGATAGTGAATCACTTAGCTTATGGGCAATGAGTGTCCCAGAAAGGAGAGGGCTGGACACAGTGCTGTCTCAGGGAGCTATGCTGTATAGTGATCTCTAACTTGTGACAGTCAGCATTTTGCCTTTTTCTGTCTCATTTTTTATCTGAAGTTTAAATGAGGAATGATGATAGATCGCACAAGTAGAGTGTGGCCTAAAACTATGGACACAAACTGCTCTGGAAACAAAGTTTCTACATGAATACATATGACAGTGATATGTCCACCAGAGGACAAACTCTTTTCTATTTTACTTCACTTATCATTCCTGCATTCCCAAACCCAGAATTGAGTAAAAAGGGTCTCTGAACCCCTGAAATCACTATCAGAAATCCAATGAACTTTACTCACAGGACAGGACCTAGGCCCTTACTCAACGACCAGTGAACATATATCAGTAAAACTTTATCTGACTCATTGTTTCTACAAATTTGCCTGTCTGGCTACCCACCTGCCTACAGATTAGGGACTGAGAGGGGAAAGGCAAAAGTGAGATATAATGAGAGCAATGAAAAATAAAGCTCCTTCTGACAATAAGAGGATATCTAAAACTATAAAAATGAGATAGAAATGAAGCAGTAATATTCAGTGATACGGGGCTGTGTGTCTAGGGAAGAGAGTTCTGTACTTCCCAGATGTGCCTGGCGGGGTGCTTAGACTGATGGGCCTGCATGGTCGAGAAAGTTTCCAATTCTACACTGTACACTCTGTTAAGAATTAAAGAGAACAAATGGCACATTTTCAAAACTCCTAGCCAAAATGGTTAAGGTAATTTTAAAACATATTTTAGCGTTTAAAGGAATGAGTTTCAATGATCTGGAAAATTCATTTTACCAGTGTTACAGTATGAGTGAGTATCGTTGTTGGGTCTTAGGTACAGAAAGATGAGAGAGCATTAAAAAAAAAAAGAAAGAAACAAAATTAGTTGAGAGAAGAGTAATGGCCCAGGGAAGCAGATGAGGAGGAAAGGAAGAACATCTTAAAAATGAGGAGAGAGGTGGTTTGGTTTCTCTTGTGGCATCAGATATAAATCTTGCCTGCATAGGGATTACAGCAGGTGCTCACTGTGACCTAAGCAGTCACTTGATTGCTTCAGGAAGTGGTAGAGTTTCTGCAATGGTGGCTGATTCTCACTGTGATACTCAGTATGTCAACAAGGTGTTAAATCCCAATTACATATAATGCCCTGCGTGTGGCACCTTCCTCTGATTCATTCATGGGAGCCCACAGGATTGAGCCATTTTATTGTAAGTCGTGGGCTCATTATCTTCTGTTTAAAAGCAGCTAGTGGCCGTGCTTTAACTCATCTTTATTTAACTTATTATTACTTCATTTATTAAAATTATCAACTTATCTTTGTTTTCTTTATTTTATTTATTTATTTTTCCCTTCC